AGATACTCTCTTTTTCTTTTTTTTTCCTTTTTGTTTTTCTTTTTTTTTCCTTTTTGTTTTTCTTTTTTTTTCTTTTTTGTTTTTTCATCTCGGACGTTGCCGAGGCCCACGCGACGGGGCCAAGATTAAAAAAAAAAAAAAAAAACAGAGGGCCTTGGTGCACTATTCTTGACATGCACAAAAAAAAACAATCACGGTGGTGCATCTTTCCATGTTCTATGAGAAGATTCACTCTCGTTTTGCACATTTCGAGAGTGTGCAAAACGAGAGTGAATCTTCGCTAGAACATGGAAAGATGCACCGCCACAAGGCCCCAACGATGACACGCACAGGACGGGAAATCTGCGAATGAAAAACAAAAGAGAAAAAAAAATGAAAAGAAACTGGGTTGTTGTCAGCACGTGTATTCCCCAGGGCAAAGGCCCTGTTGTCAGCCCGTGTATGCCGTTGGGCCTGTATCCCCGTTGCACAAAAGACAAAAATCTGCCGTTGGGCCTGTATCCCCGTTGCACAAAAGACAAAAATCATGGCGCTGTATCTTTCCATGTTCTAGCGCAGATTCGCTCTCGTTTTGCACATTTCGAGATCAATCGTGGAAACCCAGAGTGAATCTTCGGCTAGAACATGGGAAAGATACAGCGCCACGATCTTTTCTTTTTTCTTCTTGTTTCTTCTTTTTTTTTTTTTGGAAAACGGTCTGGCCCTCCGTCGTGGATGACTAGACTGCAGTTAGAAACTCTGCCCTGCGACAGCCACACGACCGAGGAGTTTGGACTGCAGTGTAAACTTCAGAGGGGACTGGACTCCAAAACGGAAGTTTGAAACGTATTTTCAAACTCTAACCCTGACCGCACCCTAGTTTTCTCCTTTTTCTTTCTTTCTCTGGGGCTCGCTGGCTGGCCCCCCCTTCTCGTGGAAACATTATGAGATCGATGGCTGAAAGCACATTATTCCAAAACAAAAAACAAACCAGAACCATGTTCGTCTTACACAAAAACCAATGGACATGCATTACGAAAAGAAAAAAGGGGCCTCGCTCCATTGCGCGTTTTCTTTTGTTGTGTGTAAATGGAGTTTTGACAGGGCATTGTCCGCTTGATACTTTTTCAAGGTTTCATTCGCCTTGTATTTTTCAGGTTGTAAGAATCCTATTCATCTAATCTCTCACTCTTGCAACTCGTCATCCACACATGCACTCAAATCCCCTCACCGTGCCTTCTCTATTCGAAGAAGTGCAATCTCTCTCTCTCTCTCTCTCTCTCTCTCTCTCTCTCTCTCTCTCTCTCTCTCTCTCTCTCTGTGTGTGTGTGTGTGTGTGTGTGTGTGTGAGAGAGAGACAAAGTTCCACATGCAAAAAGAATCTCCTGAAAATCGGCCTCTCCTCAGCAGCCCCGCCCTTTCCCTCTGTGTGTGTGTGTGTGTGAGACAGAATCTCCTGGGGATCGGCCTCTCCTCAGCAGCCCCGCCCTTTCCCTAGGCTCCCCCCGCTGCTGCTTTGGACGTCATAGCTCTCTCTTAAGAGGAGCCCCTCTCTCTCTCTCTCTCTCTCTCTCTCTCTCTCTCTCTCTCTCTCTCTCTCTCTCTCTCTCTCTCTCTCTCTTTCTTTGGGCGTACTCACACGAACACTTTTTCCAGTCAGCTCTGGATGTGATTGCCTTCAGATGCATC